TGTATTTAATTTTAATTTCTTTTTATATTGTTTGTTCTCTTTCGATTTTGTATCTACACGAACATAGTGAATTTCTATTTAAGGAAAAAAAGAATTAAACGAGGCTTCTTTACAAACAATTCTAAAGTAGTCCTTTCGTCAACCCTTTTTTCTTTGCTTTTCTGTCGTCTGTCCCTTTCTCTTTATTCCCGACGACCCTTTTATATCTAACTATACAGTAACACAGGTTGGTAGATCAAAACAATGTTCCAGATAAAATGTTACAAGTATACATCCCCCTCGTTGGAATAATTATTTATTTCTTCAAACGAATTTTCAACATTTCTACAAGCATAATAAACCAAAATTTGTTATTAATTTAAAAATCTTCGTCAATCGGAAAAGTTTAATTATTTGTAAAAAAAAAAAATTGTTTTGATACAAAAACAAAAAAAAAACAAAAAGTAAAACATAACGAATCAAAAGTTTTAATAATATTTTACTCTGTTAGAGATAAAAAAGAAATTTATTTTTATTCCCATATAAAAATATATTCAAACTTTTGATATTTTTATTAAAAAAAAAAAAAAAAGAATACGATATTCGTTTGAAAAGAAATAATTTGTAACACTTTATTTAAACAACTACAGAGTATATGCATATCCAATCTCAACACAGATATAAATTTTCATGTTTGTAATATGTCTGTACGCGTATATCTGTCTCTATCCGAGATGATGAATTAAAAAAGAAAAAAAGAATAAAAAGATTGACGTATCGTTCGTAACCATAAACAAGCTAGCTTCAAGTGATGTTGATCGAAGTTATTGGTTTTTACAAGGGCAGAGAAGTATCATGCCAAATTTTACCAAACCCCTATAACCTTATTCTATAACCATATCTCACATCTGTTATTATTTATTTATATTTTTATTTCCTTTTTTTTTTATCATTAATATATAAAACATGTGAACATAAGTTAGCAACGTTTTATTTAAATTTTTTTTCTTTTTTACATTTTTAATTAAATTTTTATATATAAGTAAAATAAAAATATCAAATTAAACATTTAAATCAGTTAATCAAATTAAACTTACTGCACTTTGAGAAGAATTAAGACGAAATATAATTCGTTCAGATTTTGTACGAATATCTCAAAATTTCGTGTAGTGTACTTTATGAACGCTTATAACTATATAGTTATATATTTAATAGTAAATATATATATATATATAAAACTATATATATATAACACTTATAACAATATAGATTAGACCCAAAATTTCTAGATGATTTTAATAATCAATTACTTTTTATTAAGACCTACATATGATTTTTAAATTATCCCAAATTATCTCCAAATTAAATATCCAAATTATTTCGAATTGATTTCAAAAAAAAAAAAGAAAGGAAAAAAAGAGTTCAAAAACTCTCTGAAAAGCATCTAAACCAACGTACCAACAACAGTTCGGTAACAACAATTTAAAAAAGTATCCCAACGAAAAAATATTGTCGATCGAAAGAAAAAAAAAGAAAACAGAAAAAACAAACAAACGAGAAGATGTTACCCCTCGTAAAATCGTGTAAAATACTAACGCATCTAGATTTTCGTAACGACGACAATATAACGAAAAAWAAAARAAAAAAAAAAAAAAAACAAAAAACGAGAATAAAAAACAAACAAACAAAACGTATAAAAAGGAAAAATATTAACGAATGATACGTATGTAGCAAAAATAATTAGAAATATCGAGTTGGTGTTGTTAGTTATATCTGAAACGATGAAAGGGGACAGATATAGATGGGGGTGTAATGTAACTTCGGCTGACCAATAGGATTTGTCGTTGTATATATGAGAGAAACACTATACCTTCAATAACATAAAACTCTCTCTCTCTCTCTCTCTCTCTTTTTCTATCGCTGATTCGCTAGAAAAAAAAGAAAAATACAAAAGAAAGGGGGTTGGATGGGTGGGTGTGGGTGGGTGGGGCTGGGGGAGGGGGGAAATTGGCTACGGACGAACGCGTCGCGTTTGTTCCGATTTGACTTCGGGCGAGATGACAGGAGTTTGTTAACGCTCTCTAGTTTTACCATCGTCTATCTCTCTTTCTCTCTACTGTGCTTTGCAAAACTCGAGCAAACACCATGATACTCTATTTCTATCCCTCAAAGAGAGAAAAAGAGATTGGTTAGAGAAAGGGAGAAATATAAAAACAAGGAAGGATATATTAAAAAAAGAAAAAATGGGTCAACAAACAAACCAAAAATATGCATCGATACAACGTTTGTTCTACTATGAAACGAAACGAAACGAAACGAAAAATAAAATACAATAATAATAATAATAATAATAAATAAATAAATAAATAAAGAAGAAAAACGGGGGGGGGAAGGGGGTGGGAGAGAAAAAAATTGCAAAGACAACAAAAACAACAGGAATATCAATAAAATAAGATAAACACGGATCCCGTTGGAGAAATTTATGGCACCGATAAAACGACAAATCGTGAAACATGGCGTCCCAATAAAATCAATCGCGTCGTTCGTGCGTCCGATCGTACAGAGAGAACGACGAATAAGAGAGAGAGAGAGAGAGAAAGAGAGAGAGAGAGGGAGAGAGAAAATAGGAAAAATTAGAAAAAGATAGAGCTGCTTTGAAAAATCCGACAACTTTTTTTTTTCTCTATTCATTTATTTTTCTTCATATGCTTCTGCAAAAGGGGAAATTAAAAAAAAATAACTTTTTGAGTATTTGAAAAGAGAGATGAATTTTAACAATCCTAACAACAGTATCGTACATAATATATATATAGTTCGAAATTTGAAACGAGAACAACGTTAACATTATATTATAAATATTTTTTTTCTTCTTTTATTTCCTTCTTCTTCTTCTCAAAAATGATAATTAAGAGTTACTATCAACGAAATATAATAATAATAATAATAATAATAATAATAATGAATAGGACTTAATTAAAATCTGTTTAAAAATGTGGATGTAAGTTTCGTTAAATGTATTCGATTCGTTTGGAAAAATATTAAAGACTTCGAGAGCGAGATTAAATATTTTTTCTAAACTAAACGATAAAAAGTTTGTGAAATCTGTTATCGATTTTCGAAAAAAAAAAAAAAAAAAAAAAAAAAAAATCAATTTTGAAACGATTCATTGTTATGTGAAATATTAATAAATTCAATGCTTGTTTAAAAGATCTCGTGTCAGCAGTTTCTTATATCAATAATGCACTTATATAATGTATGAACTTTTCTACTGGGACATATTTGTAGAATTTTTGTGCAAGAAACATGAACGAATATTCAAATAAAATCACTCGATAAAGTAATTGCTAGCTTGTCAAGAATATGATTAGGTTGTTATTTAAAATAAGGGTGATTTTTTTTTTTAAAATGACAGGGCAATTTATAACTCGTGCCTCGATAAAAAAAAAAAAAAAAAGAAAAATACAAAATGTAAAGTATTTCTTTGACAACAAAATTTACCCCCCTGATAGCCCTAAAGATTAATCATTAGTTCTCATAAATATTCAATTTTTTTTCGAATTCCCGTAACGATATCAACCTGCGAGCAAATAATGCGTGTTTTATTCGATTGTCCAAAAAGTAATTTCGTTTTTTAATTAATGATAAATAAAAAACAATGTTTTCTTATTTAAAATCCAAAGTTTTTCACAAATGATCCTGAATTGTCAAAATTAATAAATTCAATTTCTCAATTTTGTCGAATTGTTATTCAACAACAATAAGCATACACTAGAGCTTTTATTTTGCCTTATCCCCTTCAACTGGACTGGATTTAAACGTAATGCATCATTCAAAACGAAATTACCAAAAGTAAATTTCGAAGACTAATTTTGATCCTAACATATAGATGAAGTGGTAAAAAAATAATTACTCGACACAAATCGAAATACAAGAAGGCTCTTTAAATCATCACGTTTAAAATGTTCGCTGCAAGAATATCAAATGATTTTAAAGTTAGTAGTAAGGTTTAATATCAGAATAAACGCGACTAACCTAATCTGTGTACCAAAAACAAAATTAATAACTCATTAATAATTATTAATAATTAGAATAATTTTAAATAAAAAGAGAAAATAATAATAATAATAATAATAATAACCAGTGCTTATTTTGTGAAAAGAAAAAAAAAAGGCAACGACGAAAATCAATTCTCGTCAGGCTGTTTATTCAAACAAATTATGGCATATTATTTCTGACATTTTCCTATGTCTCATTAAGCTAATAAAAAATTAAATGCATTATTTACCCCTTAATTTTATTTTTTATTCTATACATGATCAAATTTTTTATAGTTAAACAAACAAATAAAAATATACATTTTAAATAAAATTCTAAAAAAAAAAAACATAAATATAATTGAATAAGAAATTTCTGCAACATTTCTTATTCCTTTTTGAATCATTAAAAATATCGTAGGGAAAGGGTGCTGAAACGTCGTTGCAGTTCTTTAAACCACAAAAAAAGCACTGATATTAATAATAATAATAATAATAATAATAATAATATATAAACTTACCGTTTTTCGCGCGTGTATGGGCATATGACTTCTGGATTGACGAGAATGATGTATTCGTGTGATGCTTGTTTTTCGTTTTGTTCAAAAAAAAAAAGAAAAAAGGGATTCACGTTTTCCTTCGGGCGTTACACAAGTTACAAATTTATCGAGTAAAATGTAAGACACTTTGATAAATACTTTGAGAAAAAGATATAGCTAAATAGATGGATAGATGAATGGATGGATGGATGGATAAAAATGGACAGAGATAAATAAAAAGAGAGAGGGAGAGATAAATAGATAAATAGATAGATAGATAGATAGATAGATAGATAAATAGGTAGGTAGAAAGAGAGAGAGAGAGAGAGAGAGAGATGAAGGAAGAAAAAAAATAAGGAGGAATAAATAATGAGTTATTGTTGTAATTTAAATTTCCTCTTCCACTTCTTCCTTTTTTTCCTTTTAGCAGGTTCCACGATGATCTTGCCTCCAATTTTCGATGACATAACAACCGCCGGTAGGTTCGGCTTTTAAAGGCGTCGACATTTTTTTATCGACGTAACTTTACATTTATTTATGTATTTATCTATTTTTTTTCTTTTTAATTTCTTTTTCCAATAAAATCACTCACTATTTATTATAAAATCCCAAAATAACAAGGACACTCACAAATCTTCTTCTTATTTATTATTCTTCTTCTTATTATTATTCTAGGGTGTTCCTTTTTTATTATCAGTATCGTATGCTGATATTAAACGGGAAACTTTTTTTTCTTTTTATATATGCGTATCGATAAGATGATGATAATAATAATAATAAACAAAAAAGAATCGAATTAATCGACGAATCCACTCGAAGATTAAACGAAGATTCGATAGGGTTCCACTATTTCAACTAAACGCAAGTACTCCTAATGTACTATTGTATGTAAGATACAATGATGATGATGATGATGATGATGATGATGATGATGGCAAACGAAAACAAATTGGAAGTGAATATTCGCACGACGCGCCAAAACTTCCTTCCACCCTTCCTCACCCCACCTCACCCCCGAACTTTAATATATTTTCTTATAGAAATCTTCTTTTTTTATTTTTTTTTATTTTTTTTTTTTTCTCTACGTAATCCTCTCTTCCCGACACGAATCAGACGTAAACCATTAAACACGTTTGACGCATGGGAAACGGGCGCCACGCGATACACACACACACACACACACACAGATACACAACTTAAGTTTGATGTCGTAATCGTGTAGTAGTTGTGTGTCGTGTTTGTTAAGGACACCTGGTGCGAAAGTAAGATGGAAATAAAATGAGAATGATAAAAAGAGAGTGAAATAGTATGATAGATATAAAATATGTGAGAAGAATATAATAAAAAGAAGAAATAGAATAATTTTATACGTTGTTGTCCATGTAAGAAAGAGAAGGATAGAAACAACACCTTTTATATTTGGGTTAACGTATTTAAATATCTCTGTGTGTGTGTTGCGTGTATGATTCGTATGTTAAACACGATATGCAAATATATATATATATATATGTATATGTTTAATATATGTAGATGATATATATTATTTATATGTAATATGTATAGATATATATATATATGTATATGTGTGTGTGTGTATAATATACGTAATACAGAATTTAAGAAAAAAGTAAAACCGAATGACGTCGAGGACGTCACGAGTCGTACTGACTCTCTCGTCGACTCGTCCTAATCCCGTGCTTCCGGTTCCCCACCATAAAACGACGCTGATTGGTGGTGGGAGTAGTCCTGCACTCTGGTTCAACGAATTGTAGCGACACCTCTCGAGTATTATTTCCATCCAATGGTAAGGTTCTACCCTTACCTTAGGGTAGAACCAACTTTTTCTTTTTTTTTTTTTTTTAATTACAGCAAAGGTAGAATAATTTTGTACTAATATATAAAAATAAATAGAAAATTTAGCATAATTTTTCTTTTCTTTTTCTTGTTTATAATTAAAGTTTTGATTCGCTCGAAGCGTTGCAATTATAACGATAGATATACACGAAATATGAATAAAATGTAAGGGAATCAAATTTATATTAGATACATATATATTATCCATTTTTTGCAAGTTAATTAACAATAAAGTTTTACTGTGAAAGTATAAAAATATTACTATATTAGGATGTTTAACTCATATTTATATTCTGTTTATCTAAAAAGCATATTAAATGGAACACGTTCGTCTTATGTCAAGAGTTCATAAAAAATAATAAATTGTCAGATTTGCGACAAGTGATATTGTTAATTATTATTCTACAAAATAATATAATTACTAAAGATTTATATATATATATATATATATATATAAATGTTTACAAATAATTTATAAAACTTTGTATCTTTCTATACAATGAAAACTATGTAAATTAGATGCAATGCCTCTTTTATAGGAAATATCATCGGCAAGTAACTAAAGTTTTGTCCTGCAACGTAACATCGTTGGAGTTTTTAGATGAGTAGTTTGTATTAGTTGACGCTCTCGTGAACAGAAATAACGTCCCTAGCAGGAAAAAGTTATGCGTGTTTGTGGGCTGTGGTGTTAAAATATGTAACAGAACTGCTAGAGTAAAGTTCAGAACAGTGTACAACCAATAACCCTCGACACGAAGAAGGATCCATCAATGAATGAATAAATTCAAAGGAATAGGAAATATTTTTTAAAGGGTAAAAACAGTAACATACTTTTTATTTTGAATAAAAGAATCGAAGATGTGCGAGATGTGTGTTTGCAAAAAAAAAAAAAACCCCCCCAATAAACCGATTTGTAATAAATCATTTATGAATTTGAAATGCAACAAGCAACAGACATTGTATCTAATACAAATTTCTTCAAAAACATCATCAGATACGAGCTTCATCTATTTCATGGTAGATTTCAAGGGGCGCCACCATACGGTACGTATTTTTCATGAGAGAAATATTGAAAACATCCATGGCTACCTTCTTTACCATACTACTTCTAGATGTCGCAACTTTAGCACATTTCTTAGAATTACCCATGGATAATGGGATAGCATACACAAGTTTTGAAACATGACTCATGGTGTTTAGAGTAGGGTTTGCTCGTTAACCCTAATGATTGAGGTTCTCAAACGAACCAAGGACAAATGTTCTTAAACTAACACTTACAATTAATGGCAGTATACGAGAGAGGTTGGCTACGTCTATGCAAATACAAATATTATATATATATATATGATAGAGAGAAAAAATTTTACTATACAGATATATCAGAATTGTTCCTTTAATACTATAGGAATATATATATATATAGTTTGTAAATTCAATATATTGTGCAGATTAACATAAACGATATATTACGTTTATCTTAAAACAAAGAACAAAATAAATGACCGTAAACGAGCATAGAGGAATGTGATCGAAATTAATTATTAAACAAGTAAATTTAAGTTAATGTGTTAAATAACAAATAAATAAAAAATTCATAATACATATTTTGATCTTTATTTCTGTCCTATTACTAAAAAGTGGATCTTATCTTTTGCGAAAATAACTAAATTTATAATATATATATAATAATAAATCACATTCACATCTTTACACATTGAAATTACTGAATGCTATAATACACCATTGAAAAAGAAAAAGCTTTTTGCATCATCTAAAAATAAAAAAGTTTCGTGATCAGGTAAACATTTTATAAATTAATCGTAATGAAACGTTTTTCTTACTTTGGAAAAAACTTGATGCGATGATACAAACATTCCACCAATCGATAGTATGCTTGGTTTTTCACTTCTCGCAATTACAAATAACAAAAGCTTTTGAGTTTTAATAGAAAGAGCGTAGTACGGAACTTGACACCTAAACAAATTTGTTTTACAAAATAATTAATACAGAGTTTTCTGTAATTTATGGGACTCGTTTCAGGAATGAACAGACACAAAAAGGGGACACAAAAAAAGGGGGTGATTAATTTGAGCACCTTCTATGAAAAAAGAAAGCTATTGCAGATTATTTGAACATAAAAGTTTCCAAAAAATTATATTTATATTGTATCCTGTGTTCATTCCTGAAGTAAGTCTCACAAATTATATAAAAAATACCCTGTTTAATAAGAAATTAATTTTTTAGATAGATTCTACAATATGCTTTGATAATATTATTAACTATTGCATCACTTTAAGATCTATTGTAAATATATTGGGATGTGCTTAAAAAGCTCATGCTCATTTATATGTTTAATATATTATTACAATTTTCGAGCAACCCAATTAAAATAATTTAGTGAAATATAACAGATATTGTATTTTTAATTTATCATATCTTACAATTCTTTATATGCGATATTGCTATGATTAATAAGCATTTGTCCAACGTAAAAGTTAATATATGTAATAAATATTGAGCCAATACTGTAGATAATACAATCAAATAATTCGCTTAGATTTTGCATACTCAGTTCTAGTTGAAACATCTAGAAAAAAAAAAATTAAAAAATGATATGATATATGTAAATAAAAATAATTTTTCAATATTATATACTACGTGCAAATAATAAACGGAAGTTTACAATTAATCTATTATAATATATTGAAAATATAATTACATATTATATATTATAATTTAAGATATTAATTTAAGATCTAATTTAAGATATTAATTATATATTATATCTAAAAATTACTATCGTTCATTATTCATACAATAAAACATTAATAAAATATTAAACTCGTTGAGAGAAGGATCAGAAATCAAATTTTATACGAACGTATGATTTACAAATATGAGATTTACGTATAATAAATTTTTCTTTTTGCAATTGTGTGTATACTCTAATAAAATATTTATTACGAATATATTACTTACGTAAAGGAAATCCAAAACGATAAAAACCAATGCAAAGAGAATTAAAATACAATAAATTATCTCGTATGCATTAAGCAATTTAACAAACCTTAAACAAATATGGAAAAATTTAATTATTGTAAAATATCATTCAAAAAAATATATATTTATAAATCTCATATACGTTATTCGGCTTATTATTAGTGCGTTTACTCAAAAAATTAATCTAAACTAACTCTGTCACTTCTTCGTAACGTTTTATTATATCGACAATCCAATCAAATTCTTCTCGTGATGTTTTGTAATAACAAAATTTTTTTCGATGTTCTTTAAATGGTTCAATTATCTTCAATCTGCAATGAATAATTTTTCAAATATGCAAATACTAGGATGAGACAAAAAATCTTAAGCCTATTCTATTCTAAAAGTTTGTAGACTAATTCGAAAAATAAAAGTGAATTTCAACAAGAAAAATATTGTTTATCTATATTAGATTGAAAACTTTTTAATCTAACCCACAAAAAAGGATATAAAAATATATAAAATTAGGTACGTACATTATAATACTAAATTGACAACACGCGTGTTGTACCGATACGAGGTATACTGAAAAACACGTACAAGCTACTATTGTTAACAAATAAATTGCTATGATTTGATAAATTAACAAACAATAATAGAACCATGCGCTTAATACATGATTAACAAAGTAGGGTAATGTTAATTGATCGTAGTCCAATTTACCAAACAGATACAAGAAAATATTTAAAATAGATGGTGATATCATTAAAAAGATATAAATATTAAAGATACCTGAAAAAAACAAAAAATTGCATACAGAAAAATATATAACTTAAAATATCGTTTAATTAAAATTTTACTCGTTTAGAAATATTTATTCTTACCAACGATAAAATATGCATACATTTTGTCCTTTTTCGTATATTTTTCAATAGTTTTAATTTCAATATCATCGGATATTCGATTGTAGTAAGATTTTAAGCAAATTACAATTTTATGCATCTACAAAAATAATTTGATCACTCTATAGAAAAAAAAAAAAAAAAACCATTTTGTTTTAATAAAATTGATGTGAAAACGCGAAGAAATGTACTAACTGTCCTAAACTTGCAATAAGTTACACTGTAACAACACAGAATAGATAATGGAGCCATCGTTCTTTGTAATACAATGACAGTCAATCGCAATTGAAAATCAGATGTGAATAATTGATAAAACTAAAATTAAAAACGTTGTTTTATTAAGCTAATTTAATAAAAAGTTTATCGTTTATTATTTATTACGTATTGAGCCCAACAAAGAAACAATTTTTTTTTCGGACAAAAACTTTCACACATTTATATTTAAATTAAAAATAAAAATAAACGTTTGGTACGTAAAAAAAAATAACATAAATTAAAAAATTTATTTGTAATAATTATGACAATAGATTAATTAAAATAAAATATCTCATTGAACTTAATTATATGATTTAATTTACAATATAGATATAATTGAAATATAAAATAAATCATAAAAAACGAATTTGTGTTCAAGAGTCCACTGTTATAACTAACAGCACATATATGCAAGTAAAATTTATATCGACATGTGCATTACTCTTAAGAGAACAGATTATTATAATGTAATAATTATTAAAGAAATAATTTTAAGACAAAAACATTTACCTGATGTACAATCATTGGTAAAGTGTAAACTGTTACTATACATAACAAAACCAATTGCTGATTTTGACTTCGATACTGATCTAATCCTAAAAAGAATTGAATTAATTGATTAGAAAAAATAAAATGTTGCTTGTAGTATTGAAGCCCTATAACAGACATCCTGAAGAATCTTTTAT